CATGGTGTGGGGGGGATACCAATTCAATTCAGTTGATTTCTATAGCGTCAAGTCGCAACAGAAGTAATCTCAGGGCACTGAACAGAAACATTCATATATATAAAAATAAGTTAACAGAAGGTTAAGGTTTCTTTATTTGTCATCCGCGCCACATGTGATACATGTGAAACAAAATTGTGTACGTCGGGTCCCAGTTACATCCAACAAAAGTATATATTGTAAAGAAAAACAGTAATAAGATCTAAGATATGAACTAATAAATACGCTAAACTAATAATGTAGTAAGCACTAATACTAAGAAATACACCTAATTAAGAATACACTAAGCATTAATAGTACAAAAATAATACGCCCAACAGCAGCAGCACAAACATGAATCTGTGTGAGCAGATGAGTACATGAACACAGCAGTGTGAAATAAATCAGCAGCATAAGATCAGCAACATGGATAGTCAGCAGCACATATCAACGATCAAATGGTACAGTGATTTTTCACAGTGATTATTCTGGTAAGAGATTTATGAGTCTAAGCCTCAGGGTAGAAGCTGTTCCTCAGTCTAGTGGTTCTACACTTAATGCTCCTTAACCTCCTTCCTGAGGGGAGCGGGGCATAAAGTGTGTGTGCTGGGTGAGTGGGGTCCTTCATGATGCAGGTGGCCCTCTTCCTGCATCTGGAGGTGTAGATGTCTGTGATGGTGGGGAGACTGACTCCAACAGACTTCTGTGCAGCCTTCACCACTCTCTGCAAAGCTTTTCTTTCTGCAGCTGTGCAGCCTCCATGCCACACATTGATGCTGGAGCACAGGATGCTCTCCACTGCACACCTGTAGAAGGAGGTGAGGACTAGAGTGTGAGTAGTTTGTCCATCAGGGTTTGGGGAACCATAGTACTGAAGGTAGACGTGAAGTTCACATGGATACGTACGTAGGAGTCCTTCTGCTCCAGGTGGGTGAGAGCAGTGTGGACCACAGAGGAGATGGCGTCTTCTGTTGATCGATTCTTGAGATATGCTTACTGGTGAGGCTGATGTTAATGGTTTTTCTGATGTCTCTCCTTGTCCTTCTGAGCTCCTGTGAGTTGCCAGACCTGAAGGCAGTGTCCCTGGTTTCTGGGTGTGAACCTCTGAAACATTAACATATCAAAATAATAATTTAACATTATTTATCTGAGGAGCAGACTGCTTCAAGTTTAACTTCATCACAGAACTCTCATCTTGAGCAAGCATGAAGGCGACAGTGGAAAGAAGAAACTCCCTCATGAGGAAGAAACCTTTAGCAGAACCAGACTCAGGACAAGCGGTCATCTGCTTCAACTGGCTGGGTTTGAGAGGAACAGATACACAATGGCAGGACAAGAATCACATGTTAAGATAGAAATGGTATCAAATGAAAACTATTTGATTTTAACAATTCTTTTAAGGAAATTAGGTCCATTTGTCCTCCAGTAGTTTAAGCTTAAGGCAGCATAACAAGTCAACCCTATCTATAGGATTTATCTAAAAAGAAAATCTTAAAACTGGACAATGTGTCAGCCTCATGGACAGAAACTGGAAGTTGGTTCCACAAGAGAGGAGCCTGATAACTGCTTTTGGAAACTCTAGGAACTGCGAGTAAACCTGCAGTCTGAGAGCGAAGTGCTCTGTTAGGAAAATATGGAACAATAAGATTTGTAATATAAGATGGAGCTAGGTTGTTGAGAGATTTGTAGGTTGGAAGTAAAATTTTGAATTCAATTCTGGATTTGACAGGGAGCCAATGGAGAGAAGCTAAAACTGGAGAAATATGATCTCTCCCACTAACTCCAGTTAAGACTCTGGCAGCAGCATTTTGGATCAACTGAAGACGCTTAAAAGAAGTATTTGGACACCCAGATAATAAACCATCACAATAGTCCAGTCTAGACGTGACAAATGCATGAACCAGTTTTTCTGCATCATTTTTAGATGTTTCTAATTTTAGAGATATTACGCAGGTGGAAGAAGGAGGTTCTAGTAACATTTTTAATGTGGGGGATAAAAGACATGTCCTGATCAAAAATAACACCAAGATTTTTTAACATTAGAGCTGGAGGACAGATTAATGCCATCTAAGGAGGGAGAAAGACTGAAAAATTTGTTTCTAAGATGCTCAAGTCCAAAAACTAAAACCTCAGCTTTGTCTGTTCAAAAGCAGAAAATTTAGTGTCATCCAGGTTTTTGTCTTTAAGACATGCTTGTAATTTAAGTAGCTGATTGGACTCATTGGGTTCCATGGACAAATATAACTGTATCATCAGCATAACAATGAACATTTATCCCATGCTGTTTAATAACCTAGTCGAAGCATATATAAGGTAAAGAGTAATTGTCCAAGCACTGAACCTTGAGGAACTCCATGACTAACTTTGGTGTATGAAGATTCATTTTTTACAAATTGGAATCTATCGAATAAATAAACCAATTATGATGTTATATAATATTGTTATATAATGCCTATCATAATTCTAATTATATCATAATATATATATATATATATATATATATATATTAAAATTTTTTATTTGTTAAAAAAGTTTGACACATCCAATAATTTCATTCTACTTCACGATTGAGTCCCACTTGCTGTTGATTCTTCACAAAAAAATTTAATTTTATATCTTTATGTTTGAAGCCTGAAAAGTGGCAAAAGGTTGAAAAGTTCAAGGGGGCCGAATACTTTCACAAGGCACTGTACACCCAGGTGGAGCAGTGGGCAAGTACCCGGGGAGCAATTAGGGATTGCCTGTCTGGCTCAGGGACACCATGAAATGTGGGCATGGCCAGGAGTCGAGCCATCGGTCCAAAGTTGGCTGCCCTACCTCTACATCATCTCGAACCCCCTCATAGTTACAATAATTCCATCACTGTGTGAAAACATACCATGATGACAACATATAGCACTTAGTGAGACACAATGAAACAAACAAAGGTCAAAGGGTCAAATACCCAGAGGGGCGTGGTGGTGTAGAGGTTAGAAGTGAACCTGTGATCGAACGGTCAACCCCCTGCTAATCATAACAGCAAAATGTGGGGGAGGCGAAGCATCCTCCACCTTCATGTGCCACACTCTGGTCCTATAAACCCCAACGTTTTCCCCAGACACAGATTGTAGTTTCACACAAAAACACAGCAGTGGACTGATGAAAAAAAGACTGGGTTCTACTGGACCAGCAAGAACTTGTTGGAGATTTAGAGGTCGTTTGAAAACACATGCATCCC